TGCCTCAAAGTCGCATTAACTCTAGAAATATTTGGCATTGATTTAGATACCAAATAAAAAAATTAAATAGGCTCAAATTAGTCAAGATCATATGCTAACTCTCTTTGACTACAACTCAATCAAGATGACTTTGATAATAATACAAGTCAAAAATAATAATATCTTTTAAATTTTCTAGTTTTTAAAGACTTAATTTGGGTTCAGATAATTTAATATCAAGTACAATGAAAATTAATTAATATCTCAATTTTAGCTTGCATATGAATAGATAAAAGATTTTCCATATTTAATTAAAGCAATTTTAAAAATTCATTATTTATTTCTAATAAATGTGAAAGTTGTTTTTAATGTGTTGGGATGAACATTATAAATAAAGAGAGATGGGAAATTTTTTCGATATTCATTTCCAACTCTATCCCATTCTCATTACCACGTACCAATCGTGCTCATAGGATTTTAAAACTTTTAATTGCACGAACGTTTACCATATCCCTCTAATAATAGTAGTGTCGATAATATGAATGAAGAATATATGAAGGTTACACAGCGCAATACAAGAAATTCAAGCAAAAACTTTCAGAACACAAATCTGAAATCCTCCAAAGAACGAAAGATAAAAATCAAGAAGTTTTATTAATTTTCAAGATGCTCAAAAATAAAGAATTAACCTTTTATTTATAAGTGTTTAAACGGAATCATAGCCTAAAGAAACTAAAATTATAAAGAATTCAAATTAAACTAAATAACAAAAATAAGTGTTAAACTTAAAAATTAGTTTTCGAGTCCTAAACAAACTCAGATGACTAAAATCCAACGCCAAATCTAGTCGCAAATGCTAAATATGCAATTTACTGTTTTTCTCTTTTCGATCCAATCGTTCCTCAATCTACTTGATAATTTGTTCTACATCAGAAAGCAATTGATGAATCTTATTGATCATTGCATCAATATGGCCTATTTGGCATGACTTGAGAAGTTAAAAAGAAGTTTTGGGATTCAAAAGTTACTTTTAGATCCGTTTAGTTAATTTTATAGAAGTGTTTTTTCTTCTATTCCTCTAAAAGCTCTTTCGCAATAGAAAGTTTTTTTAAAAATTAGTTTTCAAACACAATTAAGGGGGATTCCTCAAGCAACTGTCATACAAAGAGCAAAAGTCTTACCAAACAAGCTCTATATAGTTTTGCAGATTCATAAAGACGTCAAAAAGTATTAGGAGACAAAACCTGCTATGTGTACTTCTACATGCTGCCATAATACACTTTACAGTTTTTGATTCGAAAAAAAAAATGCAGACCAACCAGATGCTGGCACATCAGCATCCGATGAAATTCTGGCAGCTCTACTCCTGTACAAGCAGAGAAATCCTTAGGAGACTAGTAAATCTAGTTTAATACAATATGGTCGGCACAAGATAAGCTATAATATAATAAATAATAATCCTAATTCAATACAATCACGATTATACGATATAAACTCTAATAATCTTAGTCGAATTAGGATTGTACAAGATGAA